TATAAATAATTAATTAATATAATCTATTTATGTTATGAAGAGATATGAAAATTATACAACTAAAGGCCTTGCATTAGACAAAAATGCCCAATGTTTTCATGAGATGAATCATAATTAAAAGTTTGCACATCATTAGTAAGTGGTGCTTTATTAAGACAATGGGTTAATTGATAATCAGGTAAAATCATATGCGATGAGGCAGTAATTGGTGCATCAGGAAAAACATCATGGTTAGGCGGGTATAATAAGAAATCTGAAGAGGTGTCAATGTTCATAGGAACAGTATTGACATAGTCATTGATCTGAACATAATCCAAGGTAGTTGTAGGATTAAATTGATTTTCAATATTTGATGGCATACCGATCTGGTTATGACCTAACACAGGCGGAAAAATCGAATTCAAATCAAGCAAAGGATGATGCTCATGAAGAGATTGATCATTATTATTAAACATAAAATTATTTGTATTTTGCGGATGAAATGACGATTGAACATTCAAACTGTGTCCAATTTCATATAAGAAAAATGTTTGATTTTCATGATAATTTGTTTTGTGTAAGTAATCAACCATGAACGGAACATCTATTGGTTGTGTGTAAATGGTAGGCAACTGTGTCTGTGATATCGGTTCAGATTTTCTATTAGAGCGATTAGAATTTGGACTTTGTCGAGGTCGAGAGCGTTGACGTTGGTTGATCCGTTGTTTAAGGCGGTGTTTTTGAGTGTGATTTGGTGATCTTTGATACGCATTATGTGAATGTGAATATTGAGTTTGTTGATGCGTATAACTTGGCTGGCATAAGTCGTGCGAAGGACACCAAGTCGGCTGAAATGCCTGATTTTGAGGGTTAATGCGAGGATATTCTTCAATAAGATGGACTGAACCAATGTGATTTTGTCCTTGAGTCTGATCAACCATTTTATTGTTTGATTGTTAGAAACCCTTTTAGCGCAATTAGGATGCCAGAAAGAAACCTTGGCAAATGCAGAGGCAAAAAATCTTCTTTGCACCCTTTATATACAGACACGTCTATTCCAAGCAATAAATCACAAAATATGTGTAAAGCTTTTCGCAGATCCTTAGAGGGCATTTGTCCACCATTTAGGCGAGATTGCGAAAATGATTAGCAAAAATACGAATTGCAGGGTTCTTTTATTTGATACATGAATGAAATCTTTTCAATTATCATCCATTATCAGTGTTGGACGATGATATCATATGACTTGGACGATGATGTCATATGAATCATGACTTGTCATATTACAATATCATATGATAGTGCCATATGGAATCTTTGCTAGGAAAATGACCCTCCGAGGCTATGTTGATTTTGTGAATAAAAATTAAATTTGCCGACCATCTAGTTATCCAATTTGAATGAATTTTTTTTTATTTGTGGAGCTAAATAATAAGCGTTACAAAATAAAGAACATACGAATTGGATGACTAGATGGCCGGCATATTTAATTTCTATTCACCAAATCAACATAGCCTCGGAGGGTTATTTTCCTAGCAAAGATCCCATATAATAATAATATGCCATGATTTTATATCATATATAATTCTATATCATATAGCATATCATATGACATTATGATCCAATACTGTCTATTAGAGATGATTTTTGTTTACAATTGTGTTAATAAGAAAGTCAAGATCACTCGATATAAAAAAGTTATTAATAAACTCTCGGTATAAGAAAAATTTTTACCATGAACCCGACCATTTTTCTTATATCGGATTACAAAGAAAAAGAAAAACTAAATTCTTTGAACTTATTATTGGGTGCACGTACGTACGACGTTTATGTCATTTGTGCATGCACATGGATATATTCATTTAAAAGAAAAGTCATTTCTTGAATATTTGAAGCATCAATGAATTTTAGTCACATGTTTTCATAATTAATTTTGTGTAAGAGAATTTAAATTCGTCTATTTCTATAATATTGGAAATTTGATCTCGGAATTGAATAAATAAGTATGATAGTAAGAATGTTTCCTAAATTCTACACATTTACAAAGATTCGTGCTAAATTTATGTACGGAGTGTCAATATTTCACAAAAGAAATGATGTGTTACTCACTATTCAAGCAAAGTAGGTTAAATGGAATTCTAATTTCAATTACTATTCACGTGTACGTTCTAATATTAAAACGTTAATTAGATCATTGATGTCTTATGAATACCTATAACAGGTCAAATAAACGGTTGATTAGAACAGACGTCAACCAAATAATAATAATAATAATCTGGTTCTTTGGCTTTTAATGTGTCTAACGTCAGGAAAAGTATGGTATGCACACATGCACAAATAGAGACGTCCTCGCAAAGATGGTGATAGTGTGCAAGGTACATCTATATGCACAAAAAAATTTTTTTTTTTGATAATTCCGTACACTGTTTGTCTGGCCATGATCTGTTAGACAGACTACATAACATTCCTTATTGTATACTTCTTATGTGACCTAACCATTTTCATGTTATTAGGTCACTTTTAATACATGATACACAAACTTTACTTACCTCTTATCGGAGGTGAGCGAAATGTATTAGAAATAACCAACAAGATGCAGAAAATGGCCAGGCGCTTACGTCAGAAATATGTTATTGGGGTCGTGTTATTAATGACAATCGCTAATTTATTCACAGTGGATGCTACTTCGTAACGGTGACCAAGGGCCACCGTTATATCTCAGCATTAGAGATGGGATCCGTATATCCGTTCAGATAAAACGGAGTTTATCCGTATTAGTATCTGTTCAACCGTAGAGGAGGGACCGTTAATGTTACACA